GCTCCGGGAGGCTCATCAAATGGGCAGTAGAGCTGGGAGAGTTTCAGATAGCATTCCAGCAGAGGTCGACAATCCGAGCCCAAGCCTTGGCAGATTTCGTGGTCGAATGCACTTCTAATCAGGTGGAGCCGAATTCTGAAGCAGAAACGTGGACCCTGTATGTCGATGGATCATCTAATAACAAGGGTTCAGGAGCTGGAGCAGTGTTAACTGGACCTGACGGCTTCCGGAGTGAACACGCTTTGAAGTTCAACTTCCAGGCCACAAACAACGTGGCCGAGTATGAAGCCCTCCTCCTGGGACTACGTCTGGCGGCCGAGATCAAAGTCAAACGCCTGCAGATTTACAGTGACTCACAGCTGGTAGTTAACCAAATCAATTCTATGTGCGAAGTCATCGATCCCATCCTGGCAAGATATGTGGTTGCAGTCTCCGAGCTGAAAAACCGTTTCGAAAAATTCCAGCTTACCAAAATTCCGAGAGCAGAAAATGAGCATGCGGATTCCTTGTCGAAATTGGCATCTGAGAACTCTAGGGAAGCAAAGTCTGTGTACATCGAGATACTGAATGAACCAAGCTTTCAAACGTCGGGGGTAATGGAGATTAGCACTGACCTAGGTGCTCCGAGTTGGACAGACCCCATCCGGGAGTACCTCCTCAATGGCACCGTCCCGGGGGACAAACAGGAAGAGATGAAGTTACGAAGAAAAGCCTCTCGGTATACCCTGGTTGGCGACATCCTGTACAAGAGGTCCTACTCGTTACCACTCCTCAGATGCCTGACACCATATGAAGCAGAGTATGCACTAAGAGAAGTACACGAGGGGGTATGCGGTAATCACGTGGGAGCCCGGACTCTGGCACATAAGGTACTCCGGCAAGGGTACTATTGGCCTAACATGCAAGAAGATGCAAAGAAGTTCGTGCAGAGTTGTCAGAAATGCTAGTTCTTCGCCCATCTCACCCATCAGCCAGCCGAAGAACTCACCAGCCTGACTGCACCATGGCCCTTTGCTCAATGGGGAATAGACCTTCTGGGCCCCTTCGTCAAAGCAGTAGGAGGAGCAACGCATTTGGTGGTCGCTGTTGATTACTTTACCAAATGGGTAGAAGCCAGACCTCTCTCTTGTCTGACTTCGAGAAGAATTGAGGATTTCCTCTTCAGCTCGGTCATCTGCAGATATGGGATACCAAACCAGATCATCGCTGATAACGGCCCCCAGTTCAATTGTAACTCCTTCAGAGACTTCTGCTCCAACTACGGGATTAAGTTGGTGTTCACCTCCGTCTACCATCCCGAGGCCAATGGAATGGTTGAATCAGTCAACAAAGCTATCTTGGAAGGAATCAAGTCGAGGTTAGATCAGCTGAAAACAAAGTGGGTAGATGAACTTAACAACGTCCTGTGGGCTTACCGGACAACAAGCCGAACTGCCACAGGTATGCTCCTCACATTGATTCTCTTTTACATTACTTTAATTATAGTTACAAACTACCCTTTAAAGTAAATCCTAAAATTAGTCTCCTGCAAATAGGCGAAACACCCTACCACTTAGCCTTCGGCACTGAGGCAGTCATTCCTGTCGAAATTGGTGTCCCGAGCCTAAGAATCAGCCACTTTGAGCCAGCTCAAAATGAGCGTCTGCTAAGGGAAAACCTTGATTTCCTGGACGAAGTCCGAGAGCAATCCCGACTTCGGACTTTAGCATACAAACAAAGGATAGCCAACCTTTACAATAAGCGGGTCCGACCTCGAAACTTCAGAGTCGGTGACCTCGTCCTCAGAAAAGCTGGGCTCACAGGGTTCGAGACCCGGTATGGCAAGCTAGCACCAAACTGGGAAGGCCCTTACATTGTAACCGAGGTCCCGCACCCCGGTGCATACATCCTCCAGGATGCCGAAGGCAAAAGGGTGCCTAGAGTTTGGAACGTCAACAACCTTAAAAAATTCCACCCTTGAAAGTCCCTTTCTTTGTTCTGAGTTAGGAGTCTTTGTAAATAACATTCCAATACAATTGAAGACGACGTCAGGAAGGACGAAGTCAATTTCACTTCAAACTTGATTGTATTAATAATGTTATTTTAACCTCTCCCATTTCGGATCACATCCAAAAACAGTAAAAAAGAATCAAATTCATTCCATTAATTTCTAATCGTTTACAAAGAATATTTCAAAAAAAAAAAAAAAAAAAAAAAAAAAAACCCAAGGGGCCAAGGCCGAATCTAGTCAGTAGTCTGGTCCGGGTTGGTCGAAGGCTGCTCGGGGTCATCCGCAGGCTGGCTCGGTTGGTCAACACCTTCAGTTGACTTCTCAGCACCTTCAGTGACCTCGTCACCCTCGTCTCCCTCATCCACCACCACAAATTCAAAACTGAACTTGGGAGGCAAAATGGTTTGACCCCTGCTGTCCTTCTCCCACTTCAGTGTTATCTCCGGGCGGAAGTCAGCAGTACTGCTCTCCCCATTTTCCTCCACCTCCCCTTCCTGCTCTCCGAAGGTAACCTTCGTCACATCGACATCAGGATATTCCACTTTTACCTTCTTCCGGCAGTCAGAGAAAGCCACAATGGCAGTAGGAAGGCGATAGAGGTTGACGATATCCTCGAAGGTGCTGGATTTCAAGAACCCCTCCACATGCTCTTCAACTGAGTTATGAACCTTGAGCTCCAACTCAGCCACCACCTTCTCTGCCTCCTCGACCTCCTTCTCCCTCTTCTCCAGCTCGGCCTCGCATATCTTCCTCTTTTGGTACGAGCTCTCCGAGTCCTTTTTGAGGGTGATGTTCTCC